ACAAAATCCAGATAAGTTGAATTTTGAACTGTAAACAAGTTTGGAAGCATTGGATTGGGTCAGTTGGCTAAAAAAAAATAAAAATGGACCAAACAAATTCCTTTTCCATCTTTTTCAGAGCGAAAGAGGAAGATGCTCTCTCTCACTGTCTTAGTTAGATAACACTGAGGAATCATCCTCCTAGCTTGAAAGTCTTCCTTAACTAGTTGACTGTTGGTTTCATAGAGCTGTGCCCTCAGAGCCAGCAGCTCCATAAGGCAAGCGGACGCAATTGTCTCAGGCGGTGGGCATGAGAGTGATGGACTGGTATGTTCCCTAGCTCACTCATCTCACTACCCATCTAGCGATGCTTCTGTGAGGCTCTGCCCAACCTGCCTGTTTCACTCTGAGGAAAGGCCAAGGGGGTCCCATCCCATAAAAGGAGTTCCAGTCACACTGTATAGATATATAGGTTGCACTGGTATATATTTTTTCACTGTGCAAACATGGAACTTGCATACCTGTATTTATATTTCTCTGTCCATTATGCTTGGCTAGGAATTTGGTAATTAGGGTAAAGATGGATACAGCGAGGTTGGAATTGATTATATATCTAGCTAGTTACCAATCCTATATGATGGGATATTAATCTGAAATTTCATAATCAATATGAGAAATTTCATTTGCTTCTCTCTTACTGTTTTATCAATTTCTTCATTTGGGACTCTGACACATTTATTGATTTAATGATATGAAGATACTAATTCTCAATCATCATTCATGAGCAACAGTAAAGAACATCATATTTTGTAAAGGACAGTTAGACTTCATTAAACTTCTTGGAAACTAATATCTGGCAACGTGAGTTATTTTCATAGGGTTTACAGATTTCAGCACACAGCTAATGGCACTGGATATATGGCAAATCCACTGACCTGTGTACCATGTATGAACTCTGATTCATTTCAATGACATTTGTGGGTGGGGGAAGCCTAGAAAAAGAATGGTGTTGGGGTCTAGATTCTGGGTATAGACCCAGCACTGTAAGAAAATATTTTGTAGCCTCTTCTATGCAGAAGTTTTATTGAGTTCAATAGAACAGTTTCTCTAAATTTATTAAGATTTTCAAGCTTATTCAAGATTTTCAAACAAACCATTTCCAGGGAATGCATTGTCCTCAATAAACGGGACCTGCATGTACTGAAGAAGAAGAAGAAGAAGAAGAAGAAGAAGAAGAAGAAGAAGAAGAAGAAGAAGAAATCAAAAGACAGACACAGTGGATTGTGAGTTGTTTAATTTAATCTCCCTTCAAATTATGATCTTTAAGCTTAAAGGCTCTAGTTTTCTTTTAAAAAGGTAAGAGGATGAACCTGAAAATAAACTAGAAATCGTTCAATGAAATTAATTCACTTAGGCAAATTATGGAAACTACTTCAGAGACCTCAAAACTAATTCAATGAACTTGGTTAAACTAAACTAGTTCATTCCAAGCACCGGCAGCCACCGGCAATGGTTGGTCATTTCCATAGGCAAGAGAAGATGTGATCTATTTGACTAACTGAAATGACTATTATGTTTGGATGACTTGTGATTTTAATAAGTAAACACAGTCCTCAAAACTGTTGGCACAAGATCACCATGATTCTTAACAAGACTTCAGAGTCTTCGATGAGAAGCTAGACAGGGTGAAAAACAAAACAAATAAATCAGATTGACCTTGAAATATTTGTATATGCCCGCCTTCTGGGAGCTCTCCAGATGTTTTCAGCTACAAACATCTAGAGGGCACCAGGCTGAGAAGGCTGAGAAAGGCTATTATTCATTAATGCTGCCTGCTTGACCATGAAGTAATATGGATGTTCTTTCACAGCTGATTCCCAACTGAATGATGGGAGCAAGTGTTATTTCATTCCTGTATTTCCCGATGGTTCGGGGCAATTTTGCAAGAGACCCAGTGTTGTATATTTCATTGGATGTTAACATTTGACAGAGGAGAGCCAGGGTCAAATCCCTGTGGAGCCATAAAGTTCTTAGGGTGACATTGAGCCAGTCACTGTCTCTTAGCTTAGCCAAAGTAGTGGTGAAGATGCACGAGGAAGGCAAAATCATGCTTTCACCATCCTGGCAGAAGGGTGGTGGTGAAAACATTATGAACAGACATTTTTCATTCAGGGACATAGAAACATGTGTGTGTGCTCTTGTGAACTGTTATGTATGAAGTTCCCAGAATTTTGCTTTTCTATGTGCATTTATATTTGGAAGTGGTTGCATCTCTGTACCTATTTCATGTAGTTATACTCCTTGGTTTTAAACACACTGTAAGGAGTCTGTATGGGAGTAATATTGTATTTAAAAATGGGGTATCAGAGTTTTAGGGGGTAACCAGGTTGGATAACTGGGATAGCAGGCTTGTTGGTTTTTAAATGTCTTATGTAGAATTTGTTCAATTTCGTTGTTCGTTCTTAGGAAGCAATGAAACATATAATATTATCAATTTCGTTCTCAGTTGATTCCCTGTGTATTTCGAAACTGAAGTTCGAAAGATGTCTTAACAAACATCATTCTTGCCAAGGGGTGGAGGAAGGGGTGTGGTGGAGGCGGGCCACCCCAGGTGTCACCACTGAGGGGGGACAAAATACGCCAGTGGCACTCACCACTAGGCCTGCAGCACACCAAAGCCACGCATCTCTCCTTGGAGTGATGCGGGGGTTGTGCCTGCAGGCTCCACGCTGCCCCAAACGCCACCAGCTGCATTTTCCCCTTAGCTGTAGGGAGCTGTAGTGGTGAGGAGGCAGGCAGACTTCCTTGCGAGCCGTCTGGCCTGACTCGTGCCACCCCCATGGGCGGCTGGCTTCACCCCTGAACACAGGGCATGCCCACTGCCCCAGGTGCCCAACCAGCTTGCCCCCTCACTGATTTTTTCTTCAGTATCCCTCAATGTGCTCCTTTATTAGAAAGAAAACAAGCTGTCTTGGTCCATGAGAGGAAATCCCAAAATCACGACACACTTTCGTGACATTTTGTTTGCCCCCAATAAAGGTGCTCCCTAACTGTGGATTTTGTATTTTCCTACTCCAATGCTTCTTTGTGGAGGGTTTTGGAGACAATGTATGTACATAAATTCAAGGACCACATCACCTGCAATGAGCTGGACCCTTGCAGTCATAATGTATTGCTTGTGTTTGTTGTAGCTGGTTTTAGTGTTCATATTACTTTTGTAAGACACTTTGGATCACTTTGTGAGGAAATCAAACTAAACAACAAGCAACAATTATCTAAATAGTTTATAAGAATGGCTACATGCACGCTATATCTTTGAAGCACATCTGAAGCACGTTTTTCCCTTCAAAGAATTCTGGGCACCATGTTCTACCTCACACAGAGCTACAATTTCAAGCAACCTTTCACAGATGACAATGCCCAGAATTCCTCTAGAGGGGAACGGTACTTCAAAAGCGCTTTAAAGGCATAATTTGTACAAATTAAGGCTTCTTAAAAAAATAAATTGATAGATACACCCACCCCAGAAAATATTCACATTCTTATCGAGCTATTGGGAAGTTGCCTGTCATTAGGAATGGCCTGTGTGGTTTTCTGATGGCTTCTTTATCAGAAAATGTAATGGTTCTAGAGATCTAATGCCCTCCCCTCCCTGCATGGTGAGGAGATATTTGCTAGGCTATTTCCAGCAGTGACGCTGGCAGGGCAGCAGCAGGCACTTGCTCCAAGACATATAGCCCTGACAGGTCTCACTTCAAGGCCCTGCCGCTAGTCTGCATATTGGCCACGCCCCTTCAAGTTCCTGTCCTTACTACAGGCAAGGGAAAGTGTGAAGGAGTTTGCAATTGCAGGAAAGGACAGGAGCACACTTCACACACACAATATATGTTCTATTAAGCCAAACATGTTTCAAATCTGCATCAGTACTATTGTTTGGAAAGTAATTTCAAGGTAATAACTATCCTGCAACAGAATTTGGAGACCAAAGGCTCAAGTTGGCTGTATCTGAGAGTGCACCTGAGTAAGGAACTCATATTCAAAATGTGTTGGGCTCAATAAGGCATTGGAAGTGCCCTTTGCTCCCTTCTTCCCACATGGAAGGCTGGCATACAAATGGGTACTCCTGCATGATTATATGCAAAATGGCTGTATGTGGCAGACTTGCTCCTATTCCGTGTGGGAGACGCAGGAATCAGCCTTATAATGAAGTCAGATCATTAGTTCATCTAGCTCAATAATATCTACACTGACCAACAGTGCTTCTCCAGAGAGACATCCTCAGCCGTATCTGGAGATGCCCTCAGTGGGTTGAGCCTGGACCTTCTCAACCCATATAGGCCTTCTCCAGGTGTTCTACCACTAAGCTATGATCTTTCCCAACTTGCCACTGGATACCTATGCTGCAACAAGGGCACTGGCTGCTACTGCATTGATGCAACTGGGCTGATGCAAAAACATTTTGCTTCTGCTGATGAAGAACAATATAGCATCCTTCTGCTCTGGTGTTACCAGAAGACAGTGGACTCACAGTTGACTCTCACTTCAGCGATGCCATCTTCCAGCACACCTGAGGGAAACTGGCTAGCTCTGGGAGCACTGGGGTTGCTGTGTGGCACACCCAACTCTAACTTCCAACACCTTGATGCCACACACCTATCATATGCTGCCTGAAGCAGTTGTTTTACTTTGCCTAATGGGAGGGCTGGCCTAGCAGCCAGGTTGAGGGGACCAGTATTCTCTCAAGTCATACCAACCTCAGACTCTAGAGTTACTGCCTCAACAAAGCAGCTTAAAATACTGAGCCATGTAACTTGCAAACTTTCTTGACAAAGTATAGAATTCATAATTGCCTCCTGAGAGTCAATTCCCACAATAGTTGGCTGATATAAATTTAGCATAAGGATCGAGGAAGGGGACTGTTTTTGTTGCAAGATTCAAAGTGCTAAATAACAGGTCCCAATATGAAATATGTCATATTTTAATAACCAGTTGTGTCTAATTATGGAAGAATATGTACTTACTTGCCAAGTGCAAAGCACTCCATCTTAACAGTAGATCCCTTAGCAGCTGTAACTGTGTATGGAAAATGGACTTCAATTTTCGGCTCATATTCCCCCATCACACCTGGGAAATAAAGAATGGTCTTTAAAAATAAAATGAATGTCATTGTTGGTTTCCAGTTGTAGAAGGTTTATTGTCAGAGCCATCGTGGCAAGGTTGCTAAACAGCTAGATAGCAATGAGTTTCATTGTGGAAGGAAATAGTTACAATTAGAATTAAAATCCCAAACATCACCTAGGACTTCTCAGTAATGTGAAAGCAACATTTTATTTTTAAAGAGCAACCATTTCGCATGGTGTATGTTCTAAGTCAGGGCTTCTCCAACATCTGAGTTCAACTTGGTGAGCTTGTGAAGCTGTCACCACCCCCAACCCAAATTCTAAGGCATGTAAATGAAATAAAGTCAAGGAATATCAATTTATAATAAGCATTAATCCTCAATCACTGTTACCAGAAATCAAACAATGAAAAAAAAACCCCACCTTATTAAATACAGAGATTGCTCATTCGCAAGGGAGGTGCACTCTGTACATGCTTGTGCCCTTTATCTCTGAGGATCATAGTTACTAATTAAAATTTTCACACTATAAGTCACAAGTTTCTTTTCCATCCCCAAGTCTCTATATTCACCCCCTACAGGTCGACTCCCATTGACTCCAGCGGGTCATGCTGACCATTAACATCCCTGTTGCCTAACAATAAAATATCTACTTAAACTTTTATCTGGCCTGGAATCATGTGAGGTTTTCCAAGAGGTTAAGCACCATTAAATTCAGAAGGATTGCTTCTTCTTTCTTTTTCATATAATTTTAATTGCAATTTTAAAGTAAAGGGAGCGGAATGCACAGAAGGAAAATAAGAAAGAAAAATAAATAAGAGAGGAGAGAGATAGTAGTAGAAAAACATTATGCAGCATCGGTGCAGACATGAAACATAAATGCAACATAAATATTGTTGAGGTTTCTACATATTTCAAAAAGAAAACGCCACAACTGGTGTTCAGAAGCCTACTGTCCTCAACAGTGGAGGTGGAACATCTACTATGGAGACAGAACATCTATTTCAGAGATACAATGTAGCCATTATGGTTAGCAGATATTGATAGCCTTCTACTCCAAGAATTTGACTAATCCTCTTTTAAAGGTGGGACGCGGGTGGCGCTGTGGGTTAAACCACTTGCTGATCAGAAGGTTGGCGGTTCGAATCCCATGATGGGGTGAGCTCCTGTTCCTCGGTCCTTGCTCCTGCCAAGATAGCAGTTTGAAAGCATGTCAAAGTGCAAGTAGATAAATAGGTACTGCTCCGGTGGGAAGGTAAACAGCGTTTCCGTGCGCTACTCTGGTTCGCCAGAAGCGGCTTAGTCATGCTGGCCACATGACCCGGAAGTTGTACACCGGCTTCCTTGGCCAATAAAGCGAGGTGAGCGCCGCGACCCTAGAGTCAGCCACAACTGGACCTAATGGTCAGGGGTCTCTTTACCTTTACCTTTTAAAAGTATCCAAGCTTATGGCCATCACTGCCTCCTGTGTGCAGAAAATCTAATGAACATACACCTAAACTGTGTAGTCAATTTCTGGGATATTGAAAGTCCTGTCCAGAACTTTCTGTGTGTGCCCTATTGAAATGCCCCTTAGTGTTTTATTTGTAAAAGTAAATTGAAACAAAAAGCAAAGCAAAGCAAAACCCGATCTTTTTCATTTTACTTTTTTCAGGGTAGTTCTCGTTGCTTCAAATATAACTCTGTGTGAAAAGGGACACCGAGCATCGAAGGCGACATCTTGTTAATTTATGTATTTCATTCTCAACGTGACATGCCGTCCTGGTAAAAAATTGCATTGGGCCATTTTATCACTCTTTCTAAAAATAAAAATCTCGCCAGATCTGTTTAAGTCAGAAAAAATAGCAGTAAGTGGCAAGAGGCAGCTATATGGCCTCACAAAAACAAATTGATATGGTAGACTGGTGAAAACCTTGGACTAGAACCTGGGAACATATGCACCAGCTCCTAGGGACCAAGCCATTTTCACACACACACACACACACACACACACACACACACACCGGTATGTATGTATGTATGTATGTATGTATGTATGTATTTGTGGCAGCTGGGCCCCTCAATGTTCAGAGGGCGTTCGGCTCTAGCCCCTGGCTCCTCAGAACATTGTGTGTGTGACATCAGGACATCGCAGGGGGCCCCTCAATCATCTTGAGAAGATTGCATGGGAGACAACACTCTGGACTTTTCAGTTCAGATAAAAAGCGAGTAAGAGGAGCCAAGCTAGCAGTGTAGTAGTAGTAGTAGTAATAATAATAATAATAATAATAATAATAATAATAATAATAATTATATATGCATGGAATTAGTCTCTCACAGCTCTTCTTCTGGATCGCCAGAGGACGCATTTTGTTCCTAAAGAACAGTCTAGCAGGAATCAGCAAGGAAAGAATACTTTGATAAAATACATAAAGTGCATCATGGTCTAGTCTGATCCTTTCATTCGTAACACTAGAACTTGAGGTCATCCATTAAAGCTGAACGGAAAAAAGAAGGACTTCTTCATGCCACACATGGGTAAACCGTGGAATTCACTATCATAGGACATAGTGACGGTCACTAACTTGGATGGCTTTGAAAGACGATTGGGCAAATTCATGGTGGGTAAGACTAACTGCGGGACACGGGTGGTGCTGTGGGTTAAACCACAGAGCCTAGGACTTGCCAATCAGAAGGTCAGCGGTTTGAATCCCCACGACGGTGTGAGCTCCCGTTGCTGGGTCCCTGCTCCTGCCAACCTAGCAGTTCGAAAGCTCGTCAAAGTGCAAGTAGATAAATAGGTACCACTCCGGTGGGAAGGTAAATGGTGTTTCTGTGTGCTGCTCTGGTTCATGCTGGCCACATGACCTGGAAGTTGTACGCCGGCTCCCTCGGCCAATAAAGCGAGATGTGCAACGCAACCCCAGAGTCGGCCATGACTGGACCTAATGGTCAGGTGTCCTTTTACCTTTAAAACTAACCACAATGGCTGTTTTCTTCCTCTAGTGTCAAAGGTAGTATGCCTCTGAATGCCAGTTCCTGGGCCTTGCATCTGAGGAGGGTACTGGTGTCTTCAGGTTCTCCTTGTGGGCTTCCCATGGGCAACTGGATGGGTACTGAGATAACAGGAAGCTGGACTAGATGAACCTTTGGTCTGATCCAGCAGACCAGCATTGCTTACACTGACTGTCAGTGGCTCCCCAGCAGAGCCGGCCCACACATGAGGCAAGGTGAGGCGACCACCTAAGGCAGTTTCATAGCTTTGGGGGGATACTTTTCAGGCTGGGGAATGCCCAGCCATCTGCTGCTGTGTCCATATAACCAACACCTTGGGTGCTGATCTGAGACTGCATCATTTCTAATTATGTAAACCTTAGTGGTAAAAAAATGCATTTTCTAAGACATATACTTATTTAGCTTTACAGCATATTCAGTGCAGAGGAGGAAGCACTTTCCCCTTCATGCAAATATTTTGGCTTCATGGTCATATCCCTGAGCATCACATTCGATATGTTTGCTCCATGATGCACTTTATGTATTTTATCAAAGTATTCTTTCCTTGCTGATTGCTGCTAGACTGTTCTTTAGGAACAAAATGTGTCCTCTGGTGATCCAGAAGAAGAGCCGTGAGAGATCCCTACGCTGCAGCGTACTAAACACAGTAACATTTCCAGTGGTTCTACTTGAGACAGACTGTGGAATGAAATATTACAGTCGCATCCTTCTCACCCACCACCCGGCTCGATAGTTCTATTCAAACGATCCCAGCTCAAAATAATTTTCATATTGCATCCAAGGGAAAAAGAGGGTGGGGGAAAAACTTCCAAGTTCTAGACAGTGAAGGAATGAGACACTTCTCATCTTACAAGGTATTCTTTAACTATTTAGTAACTAAAGATTGTAGAAATGAACGTTGCTTAATAAACTGAGATGATGCTCAATAAACTGGAATTTGGCAGTGATTGCAGCTCAGTGGTAGAGTGTAATCTTCAGTTTAAGGAACAGATAGAAGATCAAGCCAAAAAACCACTGGAGAGTGACTCTCAGTCAGAGTAGACAATACTAGCCTACACTTTGGACAAATAATTCAACCTGGTGCAAGGCAGAGTATTACATTTTTATATATGGGTTTATGAGTTGCCCAGTAAGTATGGATCCATCAATCCAAATGGAATAACAACAATATACGTGTATTGCTATATGTCCAAAATTTCCCAAACATAGTTGGAATATGTCAGTCGGTAACAGTGCCTAGGCAGAAATTGCTGAGATGTCTATGGACTTTAACGTTTTGAAATATGGCAATACACACACAGAGAGAGAAACTAATTGCTATTTTATTGTGTTATTTTAATATTTATCTATATCTGTATCAATCTATATATCTATATATGTGCCTATTTTAGAAATCAGAAATGAGGCTGTAATCCTAACCCCATTTACCTGCAAATTTGCCCCATTGAATTCAACAGGACTTACTTTTGAGTACAAATAGCTGGGATTCGGCTGTTAGTCTAAGAAATTGGATACAATTTATTTCTATCATCTGTGGTAGGTAAACACTTCTCATGCAATTCTAGGAGAATTATGTGTGCTAAGCTTTGGCTGGACAATGCCCAGTGATTTGAGGTAAAAAAATACTTACTTTTTTATTATTAAAAACAACATCATTCATTTTGTCTGCCCAAAATCTTCCAACATTCAGCATCTTTGGAGTTCTAGTATTATGAGATAGAGAGAAAAACATCTCCCTACCCACTATACAGGATTTCATAATATTATTTTATACTCTTCTATCATATCTCCCCTTACCTGCCTTTTTTCTTTCTAAGAATGCTTGAACTTTCTAGTCTATTAAACTCATTTCCTATCCTTTCAACACCCAAACCGCCCCCCCCAATGCTTGGGAAACACACTTGGCAGATGTCGTGCTTCGACCCGGATGCCAGCTTGAGATGCTGCTCTACAATTAAAAAACCCACAACTCTCTTCCATTGCTCCTTCCCCGAAATTCTCACATGGCTGC